ACATACTTGAACTTGAGCTCCTTAGTCTCAGGATTGAACATGGTCTTATCAACATTACCAATGTTAATAGTACCAGGGCGGCCACCACAAGGGATGAAGAGATCAGCGGAGAAGTACTCCATTTCAGGGAAGTGATTCCGGACCTCAACACCGGACTTGAAATGATCACCATTCGGAAGAGTTACATCCTTATCGTCAATAGTGACCAAGAATGCCTTCGGATCACTTGACAACTTATCACGAGAGAAGTTAGCAACACCAACTCTGAGATGAGCAAGACGAGTGAGCTCCTCTCTGTTCAATCCTTGAGGATCATAAGCAACACCAGTACCATCACAGATAGCAATGGTCTTATCCTTGGAGATGAGAATCTCGTTAGAACCAAGATCACCATCGGGGCCACCGGACATGACCTTGGTGAGCTTAGACTCCTCAACACCCAACTTGTTCAGAAGCTCGGTAGCGTAAGGATGAATGGAGTTTGTTGTCATGGCGTACTTGTCATGGGGGATGCCACCAAGGACAGCGGACTTACCGGTAGTCAAAGACTTCCAGTATTTGTAACCACGAGCCTTGGCTCTCAAAGCACCCAACTTCATGAATCCAGCAGTATTCTCATCGGGACCGAAGAAGAGCATCTCAGGCTTGGAGAGGTTAGAATAGAGGCCGGTCTCCTTGGCCAGGATGCAATCGAGGAGAGCATCAACATAGCTATTGAAAGCATCACGACCACTGGTGTTCAAGTTCTGAGAATCCATATCCATGAGGATGGTACCCTTCGATCCGCCCTCAGGGATATCCTTGTTCTTCAGCTGCTGAGTAAAGGCCAAGTTGTAGTTCTCCTCCAACAAAGTAGCGCAGTTCTTCTTGTAGACCTGTCTGTTCCTGGATAAGATGAGTCTGATACCACCACGAGCGATCTCAGTGAATCGGATGTGGAAGCCATAGAAGCTCCTGCCGACGACAAGATAGACAGCATAAGGAATCCTGGAGAAGAGAGTCCTCGGACGATCAGCCAGGACCTCACCATCAAACCTCATTGCAATAGCCGAGGCTGTACCAGCCTTGAAGAAGTTTGTCATCTGAAGATGAGCGCTGAGCTTCAACAGAGTCTTCAAGATCTTCGCATCGAAGCGAGATCCAACCTGATCATCAACCTTAGCAGCAATTCCTCATTGTAGAAAGGCTTGCATAGACCAGTGGCA